AGATGGAATTTGGCCCACACCTGATGTTGATGGAGCTGAAGGATCATCAGCAATAGCAGATGGAGGGCAGGATAGAATTTGACCCACCCCTGAGCTCACACACATGAGCTACTTCTGCGATTTGTTCACATCTACGAATGTTCATACTGCGAGGTCTGTTCATTATCTGTGAAAGTTTGCAACTCAAATGTTCGTAAGTCAGGGACTTACTGTATTTTCAATCTATAGTTGCAAACTAGCAATTATATAGTTGGAAATAGAAGTATAGCAACTATAGTTGGAAATGAGAAAATAGTTTTCTACCACGGTTTGTTCAATCTGATGACGTGAAACTCAAAGATAGGTAGGGCTGACTGTATTTTTTGAAAAAACCCGCAGTTCAAATCTCTGTTGTTCAAGGGTCAACTGTATATATTGTTCACTGTAATGTTTCTTCCAACTCATAAATTAGTAATATTAAAAATAATACACACACACACACAAATTACTAATGGCAATTCTCTCTACGTTGTCTTTCAGAACAGAAATAAACTGATTTCCAGTGCCTCTGGCCTTCCTGTTGAAAGCAGACAGAGTGTATGAAGACAGTTCAAATATGTCAGAGACTTCCTCCCATGACTCCTTCTATGATTCCCTGTCAGACATGCAGGAAGAAACCAAGAATGCTGACTTCTTCCCTGAACTATCTGCTTTTCTCAGCCAGGAAGAGATAAACAAGAGCCTTGACCTAGCCCGGAGAGCTATAGCCAACTCTGAGACAGATGATTTTGACTCAGAAAAGGAAATCTCACAGATTTTCAACAACTCTCCTGTAAGCCTGGGTGAAAATTCTTCCCGAAAGGAGACCAAATTGGGCGAGCCAACCTCCTTGGGAAGACCTCCAGATAACAGGCCAGAAGAACAAACTGAGAACATCTCCTCACCTGGTTCAAAGAGGAAACCTGGCATCTCACCCCTGCTTGCCAGACCCAGTTATATCCAGAGCCTCCGAAAGGCTGAAAAATGTGGTGCAAAAACTCCCAACACAATCGTAAAGTCCAAACCAGTATATCAAGGTAAGGCTGGCCCCCAGAGCCAGCTTTGTGACAAGGCAGCTAATTTCATCGAGGAGCTGACATCCATATTTAGAGAAGCAGCAAAGCCGAGAAACAGAAGCCCAAATGGGGAGTCCTCATCACCAGACAGTGGGTACCTATCTCCTAAAAATCAGCCGTCAGCCCTGATGAGTGCCTCAGCCAGCCAGAGCCCCACGGGAGACCAACAGGAGATGGAAGCAGAGGTCAAGTTACCCGAGGCCAGGCATTGCTACGGAGCAGACCGGGATGAGGCAGCGCCATGCAATAGCATGTCTCACCCACAGCCGCAGAAAGCACTCCCCTTCCCATCAGCTCCTCGGTTCATCCAGAAGCTGAGGAGCCAAGAGGTGGCAGAAGGAAGCAGAGTTTATTTGGAGTGTAGAGTCTCTGGAAACCCAACTCCTCGAGTCAGGTAAGAACTTTTTATTGTGAATATCAAGTGATTTCTGTTGCGTTTTGGTTTTGCTTTCATGTGGGGAGAGAAGAGATTTCCTATATAGTTAGCCCTCTGGAGCCTCGGGTAGTGTTTTCAAGTCCCTGCAAGGCAAAAGCCTCCCAGAATTGCAAATACTCGTTGTCCCTCTTGCGATGTATCTGTTGTTATGAACCACATGATACTGACTAAGAAGGAGGGTAAAGGACTGGCCAGGCATAGAGGGGCACAAGTAGGTTGCCCTGTTGGATTCCAAAACAATAACAGCCAGGGAAACTGAAAATGTGCATCTTACTTATTCAAAGTACTGAGAAAAGTGTATGTGTAATTTGAATGTGAGCCTCTGGAGATGGCTGAGCATGTGGCTAAAGCTAGAAGTTGTCTGGCAGTACAGAGATGAAAGGCACAGGTGTGCAGATGCCAACCACAGGAATAGCCGCCAAATATATAATCTGGTCTAAGGCATGGTCCAAACTGGCACACGGTCACTTAAGGTAAACACACCACTCGTCTTCAGTGTGAAGCAACTAGGAGGGAAGAACTTTTCTAACAAAGAAAGAGAAACCAAACTCAGAGCGCCACAGGTCTGTTATTCAATCACAGCCTGCGGCCACTAGGGCATGGATACGGCAAAAATAAAAATAAAAATAAGGTGAGCGTGCAGTTAACTGGAGTCAGTAAACACTTATACTACCATGTCTATTATAATTTCTACAGATCTTCTTCCTTAATTGCAGAGTTTATACATTCCGTGCAGAAGGTTAACAGGAGTGACCCTGAAGTCAGACTGTAAGGTTTCTAATCAGGGCTCCACCTTTTGCCAACTGTGACATGTAGGCAAATTACTTTGTGACCCACTTTCTTCACCCATGAAATGAGAATCATAACAATACCTACCTCATTCAATTTTATGATAACTGAATGAAACAATATGTGACAAATGTACAATAGTATCTGGCACCTAGTGACTGCTGCATTATATCACACATGGCTTTGATTATTTCTCATTTCTTGATTTCATATGAAAATAACATTTCAAATCAGGATCCTACTATAAAAAGGAAACCATTCATTCATTTATTTTGAAGGTTTTGCTTTTATTAATCAAGAGTGTTTTGCCTAAAGTGCTTAAATGTTAAAAAGTAAATTCAAAATTGTGAAATTGCGAGAAATGGTAGGAAGCTTCGGCGAAAAAACACTGGTACCTTTCACTGATATGGCATTTCACAAATCACAAACTTTTCTATCAACGTACGTCCACAAATATGCACTTTACTGGTGCTGGCTTCTCAGTTGGACAAGTCGTTGCTCACAAACGTGGAGCAAGCGTTCCCATTAGTGGTATAATTAGAGGCAGTGAGTTTTTTTCCTCACCCATTTGTTCAACTAATTCACCTTAAGTCAGCTCTCACAATAACGTTACAATATTTCTTTTAGAAACTGACAGCAGGGGGCAGTAAAAAACTTCTTAATGGGTTCATTTAGTTAAATATGTCATCCTAAATTCTGCATATATATCTTTCCCATGAAGAATTTTTCTTATAGTTTTGTCTATGCTAGAGAGTATTTCTTTTGGATTTCATTTAACTTTTTTAAAACCCACTAATCTCAGGAACAAATCACTCTTCATTAGAAATACATTTATATGTCACTCAAACAGTTCCACAGGTTTTCAAACTGCATATGGCTCCACTTACATTTACCTCCAAAATAGGCCCCTTCCAAATGTATTACCATGGCAAGTAAGTATACCATGTCTTTCAAAAATGACAAAAATCAATCCACTTAACATCAAAGGATTAATTCAGGTGAGCCGACCAAAAGTACTTTACCAAAGTTCACTTAACCTTTTGATCATTTGGAGGGCCACCAAATTCATGCTCTGCCTCTTTTCTTCTTGTGGGGGGAGAGGGCATTAATTAATTAGCAGTTTTATTATTAACTAGTTTTCTCTTGTCATCTGCCAGTCTACCAATGTTCATGACCAATGCTCATTAGTTGTTAAAGTTACGCCCTTCTAGAGTAATTAAGTCTTTGTTGAGAATGCTCCGTTGTTTAAAGTCAGCTAGTCATTTTTGTGTTCTTTTGGGGTTGTTTTTTTGTTGTTGGTTTAGTTTAGTTTTGTTTTGTTTTGAGGGCTAAAGGAAATGTGCATTCGAGTTTCTTAATTTCTGTTCCAAAGATTCTGGTTCTCTCCGTCATGCACTTGTAAGTGCACCAAACGCCTGAGAACATCCATTGCGAGCCTCTTCCACATGAGACTTATGACAGTCTAAAGAGAAAATTTTCTTTGAAGCAAATTGTTTTACAAGGAAGAAAACCTTTACTAAAGAATCTCCTGCACTGGGGCATTTTAGAAACTGACTCATACTGAGTCAGTCCAGGGGACTCAGAACCTAGAGATAGGGCAGACCTATTGTATGGTAGGCCACCTCCTAAGATCCCAGAAGCAGGTGACAGAGCTCATGGAAGCAAACCTGGGACAAGCAATAAGTAGAGGCCCAGTAGACACTGGCTGGTCAGCATAGGGACATCCAGTGTTGAGAGGTTGGCAACTATATGGGAGGTGAGTGAGGTGTGATGCAGTGGACAGTGGTAACACCCAGGCTTACTTAAAATGAATGCACCACAGGAAAATATGCCAGCAGGTATCAGGACCCAGACACAGGGACTGGATCACAGAGAGAAAATGCTACCCTTCAAGAGTTTAGTTAAGAAAAAGGCAAAGCCATTGCTGCAAAAGGACAAAAGGACAGAGCAGGAATAAAGACTCAGACATGATTAAATGAGACAGGACTTCAGGGACTACAACTGTGCTGGGTCCAGACAAGGGAAACACATTGCTAGACGGACACGGCTGGGCTAGAGAGCTGCTCGCCTGGGGCTTCTTCAATTTGGCCCAAGTAGAAACCATTTGGTCTGGGAACCTGGGCATAGTGAAACTTACAGATAAAGTAGCCCCCGCTAAAAGGAGGATTGACAGAAACAGTAGGATCAAAGCCAGGCCAGTCATTTCAAGACATTTACTTTATATACAGTCACTTAACCCTCACACAAATATAACTGGCACAAACACCAGTGATAACCACAAACAGAACTTAAAAAATTATATTTTCCTCCTCTACTCTTGCATAGTTCCCACAAACTCAACAAAAAAGAGAAAAACTGATGGAAGAAAAAAGCTTGTGTGTAATAATTGAAATTATATACAACTTAGATACCACTCAAATTATATGCAAATTATTTTACAGTATGAATTATTACGTTAAATAAAATCAAGTCAGAATTCATATTTTTTCTGATTATGTTCTATTGTTCTATATTCTCATGCACTAGTTCACAACAGTATAAAGACATGTTCCCTTCCCTGTTCTCTCCATTCTTTTTTGTGTGTGTGTGAGTTGGCAAAAAAAATCATGGAGACTGTTAGTTCAAAATTACTCTAGTATTATAAAGATAGGACCTATATTTTTCATTTTATACTTTTAAAAATATTTGATGATGTCAACCATATGTTCTAAAGCATTTAAATATATGGAAACTAAGATAGAAAACTATGAAATTATTTGCCTAGCAACATAAAATAATCACTTATAGACACTGACATATACCTCAGGTTTTCTGATTCCTGAACACGTACCACAGGGATTCAGGAGAAGATTCTGCCAGTCACTGCTGTTTTGCTAACTGTGCAAGGCTTACTGACAAGCTCCAGAAATGCAGAACAGTAGAACTGACATATTTAAAAATCTTCTAGGATTGCAATTTATTTTCCAAATATCTTTAAAGAAAATGCCATCCTGATTATTTCCACAACATTGTTTCTATACTAAAAAAACATAGCCATTTATAGTTATTCTCTCTCTCTCTCTCTCTCTCTCTCTCTCTCTCTCTCTCTCTCTCTCGTAGTAAAGTTAATACTGCAAAAAAAGGTCAATCAACACAAACCAAAAGAAAAATAAATTAAGTGGGGGTGAGGAGGCACTATTCTCCATCAAATAATACAAACAAAACAAATAATTTCCAATTCATGAACAGTAGTCCAAACCATCCTCATATTCAAATTATACTGTAAGGTAAATATGAACGTCCTTATAAGAAAAAAAACCCACTTTTAAACATCTATTTATTGCTGTAAAAATGGGATCCAGCAATAGTCCAAGCATGTGTAATATTCTATGTACAATTATTCATATCTAACCATAACATGCCTATTAGGTCATCATTATTAACCTAGTAAAGTTTCAATTAATGTATGAATTAGAAGTAATTAAATTATTTTTATAATCAACACCCAGCACCTCCAATGCCTCCAATTCAAATTAGTAAGACTTTGATCATCATCAAAAGCCAAAACAAGAGGATTAGCCATATCAAAACTATGCAATGCTGCCTGTAGAAATTTCAATCTCCTCAAAAGAAAATATATCTATAAATAAGCCACTGATTCACTTTTCTTAGTTATGGTATATGGTATATCCCATTTATGGACCACTTTGGCTCAGGAAAATGTGGCAACAGCCAGTAGATTATCACTATGTGGTGCTTGTAGAATGAAAAGTCAAGTGGCTGAGCCCAGGAGTATTGTTTTTGTTAAAAAATATCGTCAGTAATGAGACACCAGATAGTACTATCAGATTATCAACATGAAAAATTGATAAATGTTGTTTCTTCAACATAAAATGTAAATAGGTGCAAACAATTTGGGGAACAATTTGCGATACATAATAAAGTTAAAGATGTATATATCCTAAACTTTTATTTAATACCCAATTTCCTACTTGACACCTGTACTTGACTACATCTAAAACTTAATTTCAGATTCTCCTCTCCTTCCAAAACCTTCTCTGAGTCTTCTCCATGTGAACAAATGACAATCCTCCTTCCAGCTGTACAAGGAAAAAAACCTTGAAGTTATCATCGATCCCTCTTTTTCTCACAACTCTCATCATCCAATCCATCCAGTAAGTCCAGGTGGC